GATTTCGAGTAAATATAATTGGAATCTCAAATAAAATTTTGTGTAGGATAAGAAGTTCAATAATGTTTTCGTTAGTGGACCGAAACATTATTTAAGTATTGGCAAGACTGGGCTTGACTCACAGTTAGGCCCAATGCCTAAGCAACCTTAATCCTCATCTCTTTAGGACCCCTGCTGTAGCTCTATATTTACATAGTTAAGCTCATGGGATTTAGACATACTAAACCTAACGTGTGAAGCGTTTTGGCCGTCCCCTCTCTCTCTAATTCCCATAGTTGAGCTTTATCTTCGTCCTGTTGTTCCAGCGGTACAATTCGAAGAGGTGTTCAAGATATGCAGTTGAATATCCAGAGGTACTGAGACCCCGTGATCATTAACCGGCGATCAACACACTAACAGCAGGCCGACCACCAACGCCGATCGACGTCGACCGCCGCGAGCCGTAGCTGCCGATCGCCGCAACCGACGACTGCGAGACACCGCAGCCAACGCGAGCTGCAGCCCGCACGCAGCCGCGACGACCCTGCAACCCCGACGACCACCGCATGCAGCTGATCGTGAATTCCTGATGCCGTCTGCCTCCCGTGACCTCCGCGAGACACCGACGACCCAACACGACGCACGAGCTACTCCCGGCCACCACTCCCGTGAGCTTCTCGAGTCCGACGAGAAGAATCCACCCAACTGTTAGCGATATATAATAAAAGCTTGACTCTGATTAATATTACACTTTTACTCTTTATGAATGAGAAAAATGTTAGATTAAACAAGTTCTATGTTTTGTTGTTTTGCAATTAGATAGTGTGGGTCGTCATCGGGTGAATCAAAGATCATTCTATCAGTTACTTGCGAAACAAGAATATTGGTTCATAACCTAGATGGACATGAACACCCCATCGTAAACATTTGTAGTGTCAACGGTACAGTTTGTCTTGACTGATTAGTTGCCCTAGTGCATTTATGTAGGGGTAGTATCGGTTCGGTTACCGAATCGATAAGCGTATACAGATACCAAACCGATAATGTCGGTAACCTCGAAATGCAAAACCGGTTAAAGTCGGTTACCAAAAATTCGATAACCAAAAACTCGGTTTGGTTTCAGTTTTATACTGAAATTGAACCGATTTTGAGCACAAAATAAAAAAAATATTGCTTGTGTTTACTTTTCTCGTCAATTTTGTAATTTTTTCACTTCTTACCAATTAAATACTCACAAAAGACTCACAAATCTATTGAAGGTTTAAAAGGATTAAATTAAATATATAGAAGTTAGTTTAACTATAATTAGATACGATTTTAGTGTTAAACGCAACTAATAAAACAATATATTGCTGAACATGCAAGAAATAAAATTTGTGATACAACTTTAGCTAACTTATCTAGTAACAGCGGTACGAGAATAGACTACAATAAAGGTAGCATCTTCCTTTAGAAATTGTGAGACTGGTAAACCGACAATGTTCCGATGAGAAGGTGAATGAGGCGATGGGTAGTGGTATTTTTCTCATCATTTTGAGATTTAGGTAGGATTGAGCCATTATTTCAATTTTTGAACACTAAACAACTAGTCCTTGTTTTAATATTAAAAAAAATCTTTATTTTAATTTTTTTACCCTTATCGGTTAGGTATCAGTTTTACATAACTCTTACGGGTTCAAATCGATATCGAACCAATAGTGATTCAGTAACCGAGAGTCGGTTACTGTTACAAGCGGTTCGGTACGATTTGGCTTATTTTTTTGTCGGTTCAGTTTGGTTCGGTTTAATTTTCGGTTTTCGGTTAAAAAATACCAGCCCTACATTTATGTATTGAACAGGATCGTAGAGAGGAGCAGTTCGTTTTATACTGATCGTCGTAAACGAACTATGCCTCGGTTAGTTACTGCGTTCTCTTAACCCGTAAGATATTAAATAGACATATGTATGCATCATATATTATTTTGATTCACGTGGGTGAGGTTTAGTGAACTGGATCAATAGTCATACTGTCTTGGGTAATATTGCTGCATGTATGATGTGCTATTAGGATATTTAAGGTCACCATGTCCATTTAGTTTGATGATGTCCACAGAGTGAGTTCATGAATGATTATTATACTAAACCCTTTAGGTGGATTAAATTATGACATAGTAATAATGTGCTGAACGAGCGCTAGCTTCGGTGAAATAATAATAAATTAATTAATTCTTGATTATCAGTAATCGAATTAATTAATGGCATTATATCTTAAACATGGAGAGATAATTTGAGTAATTATTATTGGAGTCCAAATTGTAAATTGGGCTAGGAAAAGGGAGTGCAATATATTATATTAGTGACCCATAATATTATTTAATTAATTAGAATAGTGGGTTTGGCCCACAAGTGTGTTAATTAATTAAGGAGCTCTATTCCTAATCTCATACGGGTCCCTATTGTAGGTCTATATATACAATATTAAGCTCAGGGGAAGAGAAGAATTGGAACACTATTCCACACACAATAATTCGGCAGCCCCCACACGCCTCTCTCTCTCTCTCTCTCTCTCTCTATCTCTTTCTCAGTTCTTATTCGAGTTTTATCTTCTTCTTGTTGCTCCACTGGTACAAGTTGAAGAGGGTGTTTGAGATATACAGTAGAAGATTTCGTGGTTTATTGAGATACATATATTTATCAACCCCAAAGATCACCTTGCAACGAGCCAGACCCGCCAGACCGCTGACCCGACGAGCCCCATCCGTATGCCGCACGCGCCGACCGGAGCTGCCCGCGACCCAACCAATCTGACCTGGTGATCCGACAAGCTTGATCCACACGACCTAATTGCTAGCCCGATGTTCCGTTCGTGATCCCATCCTGTTCGTGTGTCATCCCGTTAAATGCATTTGACAAA